GTGGGCTGGGAAGCATTGGGGGGGGGGGGAAGACCAAAATGTGAGCCCCATAGCTCCTGTCCCCACCCGGCAAGGACCTTTGGGAATACAGGTTTTAGCAGCTGAAGCTTGCGGTCTGTCCATCACAGCAAGCGCAGGTTGCTGCAGGTCATGCCCGCTGTGCATGCTGGATTAATTAGCAGACACGGCCACGGTTTGGAGAAGTTGCTAAGCCGGAGAGCTGTGTTAAACAGCTGCAGGAGGGCTGCCAGGTAGCAATGGTTTTATAGCAACAGTACTATATTTGGGTCACGTTTTGACTTTTCAGCTTGTGTTTCTGAAGCCTTTCTGCTGGCCCTTGCCTTGTGATGGGGGCATCCAGCGAGGACGGGCTTTTAATGGTGGGGTTTAGCATAACGCCTTTGCTCAGGCTGTGTATTTCAGGTTGGCTTTGGGAAGAGTTTGCCCCAGTTTGTTGTGTCCCCTGAGGGGTTTGCATGCTGGGTGGGGATGGGTTCGCCTCTGCGTTGGGTGCCTTCGGCTGGAGGAGCAGGGTGCACCCTGCGAAGGTGGGAGCATGTGGCCATCGCCATCGGCAACACAGCTCCTTGTCTCCATGGGAACCAGCAGCAGGAGCATCCTGCAGTCCGGTGGAGAGGAGGAGGAGGACCAGGACGACGAGAGGCAGGGCAGCGCTGGGCTCCGCTCACCAGCCAGCTCTGATCTCCCTGCGGGACAGAGGTCTGCTGTGGGCTCTGAGCACACGTGCACGCTGGTGGCCAGCGGACCCACACCTTTTTCTGGCTGATCCCTCCAAATCCAGGCCCCTCTCCCTCAACCACATCCCATGGGCTTGTTCCCTATGATCCGTGAACTCAGGGACACAGAGATGACTGCTTTTTCCTTTTGAGAGTCTGGGAGGAAGAGGAGGCTCTCAAATGGGCTTCGTCTGCCCTGGTCATGGTGGCCTCAATACCAGCCAAACCCAACAAACCCCCAGTCAGGGGCACAGCAACACAGTGGCACAGGGGCAGGATCCCCATCCCCCATCCCACCCCTTCTGGCTGCCCAGTCTCACCGAGGGGATATCTGCAATGGGATCTCACCCGGCAGCTGCTGGCTGGGGCTTTCAGCTTTGGTGACTGCTGGTGGGATGGGAGCTGGCGGGGATGCCCTCCCCGCTCTCCCAGGGTCAGGAGGTTGGCAAAGTTCAGATAGACTGAACATCTCCTTGCAGACCTGATGTGTGCACGCACCCACACAGGCACTAAGGAGCCCTCCTGGTGCTGCACCACCCCGACCTAAAGATCCACGCCTCCCTCTTGCAGACCTGCGGCAGCTCCGGTGAGGGAGGGAATGGGTTAATTCCCTGCCTGCTGAAGAGCTGCCTGTGCCTCACTGATCCAGGGCAGATTAGGAAAGCTGGAAGGAGCTTGCTCAGCAGGGACAACTGGGAGTCACTAAATCCCCACAGTGTAGGCTTTTGGCAGTTGGAAAAGCATGAAAAATGCACGGAGTGTTTAATGGCAGCTGAGTGCCCGGCACGGCAGGGGCTGGGTGCTTCGCGCTCCCTGGCACGCCGGCGATGCTCCTTGCCCTGCTGTCCTCATGCCCATGCTCTGCAGGAGGTCTGAAATGTTTATCACAGTCCCTTGAAAGGATTTCTTAGGAAACTGGGGTTGCAAGATGGGTCCTGGCCTCCCAGGGTGAACTGGGGCCATCCTGCCTTGCTGGCCATGTGGGGTCACATTTATCCCCTCTCCTTGCGGAGCAGGACATTGACTGGGATAGTGCACAGCGAACTGCCGGGGCAGGGTGTCCCCCGGGGACAAGTGTCAGTGCTGCGACTTGGGGTCACAAAGTCACACCCAAGCTCTCAGCACTCCTTCCCTCTCTCCCACTCTTTGTCCCCTTGTTTTTTGTTCCTTCCTC